GAGAGAGAGAGAGAGAGAGGGAGAGAGAGAATTATTGAGTTATTAAGCTATTGATCAGCTTAAGGTCGCGACCGATGTCTTTGCTTAAAAATGCTTCTCAGCTGGCAAAAAAATACATATTTATGAAAATTTGCAACTAAGCTAGGGATGTATAGGCGCTGAACATGCAACGGTTAGGGTGCCGCCCGCTGTGAGCGGGCCAGACGGGAGAATACTGCGCCCTCTCGAAACCAATCAGATTGTGGAATTTGTAGAATACCACCCGCTCACGCATCGAGGAAAAAGTAATACGTTACACTATCTCGCTGTTTTACTACATACTAGCTAAAAATACTATTCACCTTAGTGTCAGTGGCTAGTGAGGGGTATTTTATCTCGCCTCTTCTTGGCCCGGTAAATATCCACTTCTAGCCACACCCACTTAGGTGAATAGTTGTTTATCATAACAAAGCTAATTAAAGTCGATATAATTAAAAATAGAGGTAGACTCTACAAGGATAGTAGGATATTCCAACCACATTTTGTAAACTGTTTAAATTAAATCATTGGGAATTCCCTTACATTATTTCCAGTTTCTTCATATTGCGGAAAGTGTTTTGAGGAATGTGTCGCAGTGAATTATTTGATAAGTCCCTAGAAAGAGAGAGAATTCATGAAAAAAGAAAAAGGAAATTAATTTATTCTCGAAAGATTAAGCATAAAAAATTTTCCAAAAGACAAATGTTTCCAGTACATAAGATTATTTGCCCTTTCCTGTTTTACTTTTCATTAGAAGGACGATATTAGTATCCTAGATTTCTGATCGAAATCTACCAGCTCATAGATAGTAAGTCAACTATTGGACCATCAATGAGTACCCAGATATAACTTGTGATCAGAAGGTTAACTTTTTGATTTTTTTGCGTTTGTAGATGGTTCGGGAAATCTCAAGACCATTTTCAAACTCGTTCACAACCTTGATAAATTTTTCCTCTGAATATACCAGATATATGCTGTATGTTGACCACTGTTTCCTGTAAGTTTTCTTTTAACTTTAAAAAAAAAAATACTTTGCTTTAAGACAAATCATTTCGATCCAATACGAATTTCTCATGAACGGAAGCTTACAGCTATTTTTTTTATTTCTTAAAACTCTTTGAACACTGTTTCCTGAGAGGTTTGGTTGTACTGTGCGAATTGTCTGATCAGCAATCAAACTATTCTCACCCACAGACACAATAAGATTGGCTACTTAATCTACAAACTTACTTCCATTAAATGTCAAGCTTTTAAAAACTGTTTTTTTTCTTTTAACTTTTAAAAAAGAAAAAGTAATTTGCTTCAAGAAAAATCTTTTCGATCTGACACGAATTCCTCATGAGCGGAAATTATATTCTTTTACGTTTCATAAGAAGTCACAGTTATTTTTTCATTCAATTTCATTTACGACTTACAGTTTCTTTAAAACAGTCAGGTTCCTAAAGATGTCTTCCGTAATTGAGCTCAACGAACAACTTGAAAGATCTCTGGGTAAAAATCAAACTGTAAGTAAAAATGGTAATGAACATAAATTTGTATTCTAGAGGAGGTAAGGTCCGAAAGGAATAAATAAGCGATTATCTAGTTAAAAGTATTTTAGTTTAAATCGACACGTAGCGTGATTGCAACATCAAAACCACATTCTTCCAAGAGGTGTCTATAAAGTATTAGTTTCCTGACAAATATGAACACAAAGAAGACGATAACAGACCCTGCAGGACAAAGGATGGCGAAGTTTCTTAATCACTTACAGTTCTACTGTATTGCTTGGGATTCTGGTTGATATGTATCCATGAACTCGACATTTTACTTTTAGCCGAGTCCTACCGAACTTGGTACATTGACAGATGTTTTGGCTGCAAACGTCACTCTCACATGGTGTAACAAGCCACAAGATCAAGAAGACCTGTATCAGACCAGTGAACATCGTTACAGTGGCCAAAGTGGTTCGCTAGAAAAGCAAATTGTAATATGCTGATTTTAGGTAACTTTTAAACAAAGACTTATTCAAAACCGTTATGCGTCGTTCAAAAGCAACATGGCTTACTTTGCGAGGCATATCTCCACAGAAGGGTTATCGACATTCGTTTACATAATCACCGTTTTCAGTGGAAGCAAATAATTTTTTTTATCGAAAGATTATTCTTACAGGAAGCTGAGGTCATCATTTCACTTAAATAAAAAAAAAATTGCAAATTGATATCTCTAAAATAAGAAGAAAGAAAGCTGATTTTGCTACGCTGTTGAAAAGCTTATCCATCGAATAAACTCACCCAAATATCTCTCACAGCCAAGTGTCGACCTCTTCAAAGAATATTTCTGAAGTCGTATAACCTTCTTCTTCTTATAGTCCTCTTGTAATTCCCCAATTTTCTATCTTTAAAAAAAGGATCGAAAGCGGATTCAATGAGCATGCTCATTTGCGTTTGCAGCTCCTACGATGTTATCCAGTGTTTCGAAACTTTCGAAATACTTCAGTCCGTACCTCCCGGATGACAGTTTAACTTTCTCACTACCTGTTTGTAACACAAAGTAAACTGCTGAAAAATGCACGAACATCACTGGAAACAAGAAGTTTCGAAACTCTGAAGCATTAAAATTAATTATGAGTACGCGTTAATTATTTGAAAGCAGTCACTGGTTTCGATCTGCTAATTACAAAGTTCATAAACGCCAGTGAACCTCAAAGTATAAAATGGGATAAAGAAATTAAAAGACAATACAGTTATGGCTATATCAAACTGGTTATGATCTCTGCCTTAAGAGTAATCATTTAATTGTTTTCTTGCACACCAGTAAATGTCGTTACCGTGGTCGGAGCGGTTTGCTATAGACGCGAACTATAATATCCTGATTTCAAGATTAAAAATAATTGAAGACTTATTCATCCGTCGTTCAAAAGCAACATAGCTTACGTTGCGAGGCCAAGGCATGTCTCTCCGGAAGGTTTATTGACATTGGTATATATAATCTCTGTTTTCAGTGGGGGTAAATCAGTTTTAACCAAATATTTATCAGACAGGAAGCTGAGAGGTCATCATTTTTTTTTTTTAATGAAAAAATTGCAAATTGGTCAAAGAAAGATTTTGCTATGCTGTCGAAAAGCTTATCCATCAAATAAACGCACCCAAATATCTCTCACAGCCAAGTAACCAACTCTTCGAAGAATGTTTTTGAGTCGTACAACTTCCTTCCTCCTATAGTCCTCTTGTAATTCCCCAATTTTCTATCTTTAAAAAAAGGATCGAAAGCGGATTCAATGAGCATGCTCAATTGCGTTTGCAGCTCCTACGATGTTATCTAGTGTTAAAGAATTTGTGATTTGAGGGTTAATATCGGCTTGAAGACACGTTTGATTATAAACATCTTGCTCTTCGACGTTGACTGTAAAATTTTTGGCCCTTCGACAACTAACGTTTCAGTCCGTGCCTCCCAGATATCAGTTACGCATTCTCACTATCTGTTTGTAACGCAACGTTAACTGCTGACAAAGGCACAAACATCACCGGGAAAAAGAAGTTTCGAAACTCTGAAGCATTAATATTAATTATGAGTACGCGTTGATTCATATTACTTAAAAGCAGTCTATGGTTTCGATCTGCTAATTACAAAAGTTCATAAACGCAAAGAACCTCAAACTATAAAATTAGATAAAAAATAAGAAGACAATACAGATATGGCCATATCAAACTGGTTATACCCTCTGCCTTTAGAGTAATTATTCAATTGATTTCTTGCACGGGAACAGGTTACGAAACGGAAGACCATCAAGTTGTGAAAATTCTGTCCTTTCGTCCACATCGCATTTTTGCACCTAGAAAATTCAAGAGTCGTAACATTTACATTCGTCAATGTTTGGGAATGGTATCAAATACTCTTAAATTCGACTTTTCGCAACACTGCGCATGTTATAAAAGATACACGAGGCGTCTTGATACAAGAATAACAAAAAGAAATTTATACAGATCAGAAACATAAGCTCTGTTTATTTTACACTACTTAGGCACTGCTCAAAGCATTGGCTGGTGATGGATAACTTCCTGTTTATGATTCCGTCACAATAGTTCAGAAAAGTTTGGTTTCGAGCCCTCAACAATTGGTATTTAAACCGGTGACACATTCTCTTGATTACGATAGACGATAGGAAAGATTCGAAGCAAAGTCAACAAATGCGAGCGAAATTTTTAACGGAAAATTTTTAATATATATAGGAATATTACGTTCTAAAAACATCTGGGACAATTTGCGCGCAGATTTGAAAGTCTATTCCTCTCGGTAAGTTACAAATCTTGTCATTATAATGGAACAGTAACAATATTTCCTAAGTTTTGGTAATACATACATACACATAGGCTTTTTTCCTATAAGAATCTTTTTTTTTAAGAACGATCATGGTCAGGCTGAGATAAGCCAAAATTTTAAGATGATACTCAGAAGATGGCCAGGCAGAGAATAAGTTAAGAACATCTTTCATTTGCTCATTTTGCTTTTTGTAAATCCAAATTTAGCAAGAGCTCGAAATGTTTGGTTGGTGAGACATCTTGTTTGCGACATCAAAGCAAGCCGCACAACAAAGCGACAAGCGACTTGATACCACATCACAGCAAACAATGCATTTTATGAACATGTTAAGGAAGTTTTCAGGATCTACTCACAAAAAAGGAACATATACATATACATATATATTTTTATATAAAAGAGGTAGCCTCAGCCTTGAGAAATGACGTTCTTATATGAAAAGAGAGTAAACAACGTATGCCTTGCTCCCCCCTCATTACTTCGACTTTTTTATACGGTCGCATTTTCGCGTTATTAAAATTCGTACATATTTCAACGCCTCAGACGAAGACCGTGAATCATTCTCCAAAATACCTGATAAATCATGAATGGACAAAATATTCGATTGAATAGAAAGTTTATTTCACCACTATGGTAAAGATCCATCCCTTATTTATTACCTTAAGTAGCTGCAGCTTCAAAAATCGAAAGATCCAGTCGTAAAGAATAGACTCGTTGCCTTATATTTATTATAAGTAACTTACCAAAATTGTGACAAGAGCTACAATACGCTTGCGGGGGAAAAGCAAATTTGCCTCTCGACTGAATGGGTACCATAAAAGGGATAGATCAAAACAAGCGCAAGAGTCTGCACCAGCTGAAAGCTCTTTATTCTAAGCAATTAGAAACTCCACCCTCTGGGAACAGCTCAATAGCTTTCGTACAAGTACTTATTGGCGTAACTAGTGCCTTTTAGAATCTTGTGATGGTAATTAAAAGAATCCACTGAATCGTAACGATGGCATAAGTATTTCATTTTTCTAAATGGATATGTTACGCCTTCTCTCATTAAGGCAATTGACCGCGCTTTCTATCAGCGTACCGGCGTGATAACCCTCGAGAGATGTTGGGAAAATGGGAGAAACAAACCGTGATTCGAGTATTCCCAACATCCCGAATTGGTTCTTGCGCCGGTAAACAGACAGAAAGTGCATCTATTTCTTCATCAAACATTAAAATGAGCATGTTTTTTTCTCATGGGTTCACCGGTGCAAAAGACACGAAAGGTTTTTGACCAATCAGGGAAAGCTCTCGTATTGCCTCAGTTGTTCTATAGAGTTTCATAACTTCCCCCCGAGAAGGACTAAGGTTTTGATTGAAAAATGAGGATCTTAAACCTATTTTCCCCTATTTTCGGCATCTCTAATAATTCTCGTGGTTGGTATGAAATTATGTATATGGTAAGATATTATCAATGGAGCGCTGAAGGCTTCTCAGCAATAGATCGGTTCAGCCTTATCCATCAATTTTTTTCCAAGTGTTATCGAATTCGTTAAACCCGCCGCCGTTTTTTTTTTTCTTTTTTTTTCTTTTTCTTTTTTTAATTTTGGCACAAATCATGATGGAAACTTACTTTTCAAGCCTTTTAGCCAAAAGCTTACCTTTACAGACTTTTTTGGAACTGTATCTCAAAGAGGCTATCAAACCCTCATTGCAAAAGGCCGCGTCAAATTAACGATAAATTCCTTCAATTTACAGCGTTTTTCCGCCCAGCTGTCGGTTTGGGAGACAATGATGATTTTGACGCAACAACCGCGACAAACTATCTTCCTGAGCATGTTCGTTTTTGTCATCAGTGGAACATGGGGATATCAATCTGGAATTGAAATGATTAATGTGACATTCTGTGGTAAGCTACTTTTTTTAATTTAGCCTATAAACTGTTTAGGAAAAAAATTACAGAATGCTACCATGAAAAATGAAAATGGAGACTTAGAAAAAAGAATTGTCGATTTTCTTTTTAACAACTGACTTACTACTTTCCCAATTATCTGATTTCCGGGTTCTATTACTCCATCTCCATTATTTTTTCATTTCCCTCTCCATTGCCCACCAGCTGTTTAGTCAAAACCAGCTAAGAATAAGACTACTCATTTGTCGCAAAAAACAAACTTAAAACGTAATATATTTTTCCATATATTGCTTTGTATCTAAGGTTTTCGTGGGGCCTGGACTGAAGTAAGTTAGAACTATAGGGAAAAATGAATGGCATCAACCGTTCACTCATGAAAGAGTCAATTGGAAACTAATTTTGTTTTTCTGTAGCCCAAGGTGATGCTCCATCATTACATTCTTTTTAGGAAAGTACGATAAGCCTCCAAAGTTGAAAGTTTCTCCATGGCCTTTCATTCCAGCTGGAAATCATTTTAAAGTTAATATGACATTTACACCTGGTAAGTTGAAGTTGACATGGAGGTGTTTTAATATTTTTTATGCATTTTCAATTAAAAGTGATATCGTTACAGAAGTAGAAGGAGGGGCTTATGAAATTCAACGGCTAAACGACCACAGGACTGATTAAAACTGCGGATAGCATCTTCCTTGATTAGGCGATATGGATACATACCGACATTGCATATCCTTACAGCATACAAAACAAATTGCAAGACATATATTAATGTCTCGTTTGAACCTTGAAGTTTCGTAGAGCATCGGACGACGGAACCCAACGCTCCAAGGTTTTACATATATTCTAATCGGGGAATCAGGTTTTCCCACACTCGAGACCAAAATAATTAACATCCTACTTTGTTCAAAGACCAAGCCAAAAATTTAACCCCTTTCTTAACAATTTGACTAAGGGTGTATAACTATAAAATATCCAGGATTTGAGAATCGAGATTACGGGAGAGCGCTGAGTGCGATTGCAAGTAAGAGGTTCTCCGAAACTTCGGAATCAAAGGCATCGGGAAATGAGATTTCAAGTCAGCTCATATCGCCAGGGTATACTAAATGATTGTCAATTATCCTGCAGTGCTTAAAGTTGTTAAATCTAATCTCAAATAATTTTCTATTTCCTGTATTTATTAAACTTTTCAACGATTGCTGACTCAACTTGGCGGGTTCAACTGAAATCTTCCCTCTCCAACTTCCCTTGCTGTACAGCAGATATTTCTTTTTTTCATTACACTAAGATCTGTGCCACGTTCTAACTAGTGCTTGCTTCTAATAGCGGTAGATGTTCTTGAAGCATCCATGCAATACGAAGTGGTCTTAGACGGCAAGGTTATTTTAAGGAGCAGGGACGACACTATATGCAATGTGGACCCACCATTTTGCAATTTACCAGCTGGTGGTAAGTTGTCTCCCAAACAGTACAGTGACAGTAAGGAGAATTACAAATTTGAACTAAGAGTTAAAGGGTTTATGATTTATTTTTGTCTTCTAGAAACCAAAGTGTGGGTTATAACTGGAAAATTGCCGCCCATTCCTCCAGTTTTTAAGGTAATCGATCAACTAGCATAGCTCAGCCAGCTCTCGAGTTTCAGCGCTTGTGATTCCTATCTGATTGACCCGGCTGTATTTCAGTCTGTCCTCCCTCTCTAGATTTGTTCTTGCTTGTCAATCATAACGGTGTAGTTTTCGTCCTTTCCTATTTGACATTTATGGATCTTCCTCACAAATGCGTGTAACAACATTCAACAAAAATGAAGTCGAATCTTTTGTAAGCACTCGTCCTATTAGCTCAAATCAGCTTTTTTCAGGATATTAAATTTGTTAGCCACCATCCAGGCCTAAAGATTTTTTAGTTTTATCGACTCAGTGAAAAATGTAAATCGGCCACTGTCTAGAGTTTCTAAAGAGTTAGCCCTTCGTTCCAACGATTGAGACGTCAGCTCTGAAAACTCTTTATGGTGGCCAGTTTGTATTGTCAGCTCACTTGATAAAACGAAATTTTCCTGTTAGCCCCACATGGCCACGCATCGACGCAGCACCACAGTTTCTTGAGAAACTTATCCTCTCCCCCCCCTGCCCCATGAACATGACTTCCAGTTTAGCATTTTGTCATCTTTGTACGCTCATTTCAATGTAGGCTGGCTCTTGTGAGCTTTTAGCGTTAGCAGCCATTCTTCCTTATCTTAATTACCATTACATTGACTGCACGCTTTTTAAAAAGCAATCATTATGAATGATGGTATTGGTCATTATCATTTAAATTAAGATTATATCGATTATTATCAAGCTGGGCATAGTTTGATCTGTTCTTTCCTAGAAACAAGGGAGGGCCTTACATCAACGATGGGTTTACATTCTACGTTAATGTAGTCACTCTCATTTCATTTTATTCTTTAATCAATTAGAATCGAACACGTATGCTGAAAATTCAATATTTCAATGAAGAGAATATCATGTTTCTCTGTTTTGAGATTGTAATCAAGGTACGGTGATAGACGAACAGGACAAACAACAGTCAAGACTCAAGAAAAGTATGTGGGAAAAAGATAGGCATGGAAAGACATAAAAAGAGTCGCCTTGCAACCAATGATTCTGTAAAACAAGGTTTTAAGATCTAACACTGAATAATCATTAAAGATAACTTTAGTAACTTTGAGTAAATACGTAGATTACGTTCTTGTGACGAGGGAATCAGAGCGGGCGAGAGTCTTTGAACTCTTCCCTACACACAGCGCTTTCATGAAAGTCATTAGTTAAAATACAGGTTTTGGTAAAAATGAGAGAGGACTGAAACGCGTGTCTAGTAATCTGTTTTGGTGAGTCGCATAGCGTATTCAAGACCAGACCGTTGTTCAGAAAACTTCTTGAAATATCAATTATGACAGCAAAGTTGATTGCATGAGAGCAAAACTTATCACCAAAGGGTGCTTACTGTTGCTCTCTGTGGTTTTAATTATCTAACGGTCAGCCGTTTTTTTTTCCTGCTCAGTAAATGATACTTTTAGGGTTCACCGTGTTCTAAGTTTCAAAGCTTTCATTGCCTTTTATTACCGGTAATGTAACGGGGTCACATTAGTGTTCACCGCTAGCTGTAAAACAGCCAAAAATTTTGCCGAAAGTCGCAAAAAAGTTAACCATAGAAATGGTAGCCAACTGTTAGCCGTAAGATGGCCGAAATTTTAACCGTTAACCGTAAAATCCATCACCTCATTGACACCTTCATGTAAAAGCAGAATGGTCTGCGCTTTTAAAGTGCCGATGAACGAAATTTTCTTTTTGCCTAAATATTTAGTTCATCATATGTACAAACCAATTTCGATTGAGGAAAAACTTTAAAAATCCCCAAGCTCGGTCTTTACGGGCCCTAAAGCGCTCTTATTTAGTCTTAAAAGTGTCGCGTGGATTGGTAACGAATAAGCGGGTGATGAGGTAGAAAACCGTGAAAACTCTCAGTTGACACTTGCAAATCTTTCACATCTCTTGTAATTTTGTATCAGTCATCGTTGAAATACTCTTGACATAATGCCCGATAGCAATGTATACCTATCTTCAGCGAACTCTACCGAGAGTTATGACACATCGTACTCAAGTAGAAGAGAAGAAATGGAGTTGCGAGTACGGTTCAGCCCTACGAAGGAGAACCCCGTTGTGTTAAGCGAAGATTTCGACGAAGATTGACAAAGACGGTTTCTTGCCTGCGGTGTTTAGGTCAAGATTAGAACAGAAAATTCCCTTTGCTTAATGTTTAGTTTGCTGCGTTTGTGTTTTGTTTGCGAAATCTTTGTTAAGAATGCCGGGGTAGCTGTGTTCGTTTCTGTTGCCATGTCAATTTATTCCTTCGCACTATACGCGGCGAAGGTTCCCCTTGGTCAGTGCTCTAGTGTTCGGTTGCAGTAAAGAAATTCCCTCAATAAACCAAAAGCTAACTTTTGACGAAATAATCAGCTGTATAACGGGGCACGAGGATTTTTCACCGAGAAGTCATCAGGCAGTTTCACTGCAAGTTGCTCCTTTCCTCAGAGATTGCAAAGGCAGAGGCTATCGTCGCGATCGTCGTGCCCGTCAAACCGAACAAAAAAAGAGTGAGTCATAGTCATCTGATTCAAGTTAATCTCAAACAGGGATGATTTCAAGAGATAAAAACTTCTCTAGTTTAAGTGCAGCATTGCCATATGACCCATTCCGCTCAAAGTAAATAGCTGACATTAGTATTATAGATGAATATTTCGCACGCATCGACTTTCACACGGTAATTGGATTCACTACTATCTAATTCAATAAAATGTATGTTTCTTTATTCATCTCGTTGCAGTGCTGTTATCAAAACGACGTCGCTACTGTTGCTACTTTTAGTTTCCAGAGGACAGGGGAGAATTGATGGCTCATGGGATAGATTTTCGGAAGCCTAGTTAAGGAGAATACACGGCCACTTCGAGGTAGTATTTATGCCAGTATCCGCCAGAGGTTGCGTATTGTTCATGCAACAGGATATCGGTCAGCTAAGGAAAGGGCTTTAATTTCATTAGGAATCATGAAAATCTGTTATCAAACTACGATGGAAACTACAATTGGTAGGATTTTCATGCGATAAGAAAAGCAAAATGTAGTCATGTGGAAAGACAAGGAGTATGAGTACATCTCAAGCGCGTGAAACAAACCACAATAAGGAGCAGGATTGCAGAGGCAAAGAGAGAATGTGGGCTTTTTCTATTTGACGAAAAACTTCATGAATTATCCCAGTGAAGTTCAGCGCTCACTATAATTATTGTATATATGACCCGTTAAAAAGTCATTTCCTTGTCAAAAGGCAAACTAATTTATATTTCTTTAACGAGCTTAACTTTCCATTTGAAATTTATGACCTGTGATAAGCGCATGCTCTGATCTACTTTGTCGCACAATTTACATAAGCGCGGAAAAATTTTATTCCTATCATAAAGTGTGTGACCCATGAAACGCTTTTGATCCCGCCCGTTCCCCATGGGTATGAGAGCGGTCAAACTTTTCTAGATTGAACAATTTTTTTTGAAAATCATATTAATGACAAGTCATCTTTAGAAAAACCTTTACGATAGATTCGGCAAGAAAACACTTTGTCTTCTCCACTTTCTTCTCGTGTTTCTTCCTATCCATCATCTGTAGTGTTTCATAGAAAAGTACATATATAAAAGTACAACAGGTAAAGGAAAGTGATTAGTATTAAAGAAAACTTTAAATTCATCGATCATTGACGCTTAGACGAAAATCCTGTTCACTGCTTTTGTGTTGTAAGTAGGAGCAGGACTGTCCCTCAAGAACAAATGGTTGGAGTTTAAATAAGGATAGAAATCACCCAGAACTTAGTTTGCTTACTTTGTGTGTTGAGAGTAACCTGAAAAAGCCTGAAGCGATCTACACGTTGTGTGTATGAACTTGCAAAAAAATTAATAAAAAAAAGAATATTCTATGAAAGGTAAACTAACAGGAACTACGACATCTCAATGCATGCATTTATCTGTGACTTTGAAAGGAACCGGGCATAAATTCGGTAACAACAATAATTGTGAAATTTTCATCGTGCGTGCATGTCTTCATGCATGTTCTCTTTCAGTCGAAATCTCGAATAAAGTTCGACTTCAGAGTTTAATTCATCTTAGTTATATAAGCCAATTTAATTGTGGGAAATTGTAGCAAATGCTTGTGAATGAAAGTGATCCTCGCATTAATGTACACTACTTAAGCAGTAGTGAAAATAAGGCCTGAAAAAAATTCAGGCCTGTACTGGATTTGAATCAATGACCTCTGCGATACCGGTGCAGCGCTCTACCAACTGAGCTAACAAGCCAACAGGGAGCAGGTCATGATATTGGTTCTAAATAAACTCGTGAAGTGATGAATAAATGGTTAAGATATGATATATGTATATATAGATTTATGACTCTAATATATTCTTAACCATTTGTAGCAAATGCTGTTGGATAGCGCTCGGTACACATGAGTGTAGAGCGAAATACAGATCAAAATGACTGAAATGAAATACGCATGATTCCCTGTAACTCTCGGGTATCAGGGTATATATCATGCGTGTTTCATTTTAGTCATTTTGATCTATAAGCCAATTTATCTTTTCTATCAATAAACATGAATACAAAATTGTTGTAAAACTTTTTCGGTTGCCTGTGAGCATAAAAAATGTTCAACAATATGGCAGCTCCACTCTTGTAATTAATTCAAATTGACGTTCTTAATATCAGCGTAGATACCGAAATAAATCTATTTGGGGCATACATCTAGGTACCGATTGAAATCCATTGATGAAACAAACACATCTTGTCTAGATTCCACTCTGTCTCAAGAGCTGTCCGAACTTCAGGCTATCACCAACACTAATGATTATCTCCTCGCCATATGCGTCGTCAATCCCGTGCCGGGAGTTTTAGCCATACCGGGGAATGGACTCATACTGGGAATTATCCCTAAATTCTGTGCTGTCCAAACTGTCTTCAACATATTAATTTTCTCGTTGGTTCTCATCGACATTTTGGTCGGTTAAGCTGTCCAATCAGCCTTGCAGGCAAAATCAACCTGTTCTTTTTTTCACTGAAGCGCAGAAATATTTTGCGTAGGATTGTCGCTGACAACGCTTAGCCTGATTGCTTTGGTTCTTTGCTATTGTTTATTCCCTTCAAGTACATTAATTGCATGACAAAAACTCGGCCTATAGCAATCGTCGCCACACTCGGGCTGTGTGAATTATTTTTAATGCTACATGGAGAGCTTTGAAAGTATAAAACGACGTTTTTTTTCTCCAAATGTTTCCGGTCTCATTGGATTCTACTTTGTGTTAAACATCGCGTTACCTTTCAAGATATTTAAGATAATAAGGCGCCACGAACGACAGATTCACACGCACAAAGTAAAGTCAACATGGAGATTCACACGCGTGACAATGAAAGCTGTTCCACGCAACAGCCGCAAAACATTAAAAAAAAAAAAAAAAAATCAAAACACGTATGGCACGAACTGTGGCGTATATCACGAGCATGCTTGTGCTTTGTAATTAGCTACTAGTGGCAACCTCCCTGGCTGACATGGTGATTGAAAACGATACATTCCAACATCATCTGTTATACGAATAAAGGTTTCTAAGGACTTTATACAAAACGTTTAAACATATTAATCGACTCAGTTGCCATCGAAAGAAAGAGTGCTATATTACTTTTTAAAATATATATATGGTTTGTCAAAGTCATATATGCGCAATAGTGCGAGGGATCCTACTCTTGAACTATCCAAAACGTTGTTATGTTTTTTTAAACTAAAAAATAAACTATCTTATTATCTGAAAATAAACTCTTATTATCTCAATTTGAACTAAAGACTTAAAAACAAAAACGAGTTCCGTTATGAAGAACACAACCTTTGCGGAAATCGGTTGTGCCTCTAGTTGCAATGAAATGTCATCCGGAAGTCTGACAATAGCCAGAGAGATTTCAACGAAAGCTCTAAATTTTTTAGCCATCTAAAGCGAGATATTTCATGAGGCTTAGGAAAATAGTTTTAAGACAAATATTTCGTTAAAGTTCTTCAGTTGCTTTCTTCAATGAAGTATGAAAGTTCATCAGATGTTCCTGTTCTTTTGACCACTCTATTTTTAAGACGTGATACTCCTTGGCGAAAGAAAATGAAACATCGGATCGGGTTCAAGGAAATGTACTTCCAAATTGATTTCACGTGTAGAATTCCTTTTCCTGTAAAGTAGGGAAAAAAAAAAGATGGAGTTAATTATTTAGATATGTAATTGAAATCTTACATGAAGGCGTTAGAAAAGGTAAGGTGTCCCTTTTTACTGAAATTTGTGTTTGTTTTCGCTCATGCTAAGAAGCGTTTTGAGAACGGGTGTTGACATTTCGTCAGCGCAATGGTTTGGATTTCTTTTTCAGATCTCAATATTCATCATACTCCATCTGTAACTCGCAGTTTTCTGTCTTCTACCAATACTTTCTAATGTTGGAACACTACAGCATATGAAAAGAGAAAATAACTCAGCTATCAGGATTACAAGGTCTAAAAGTTCCACTTACAGGAAAAGTTAAGCTGCGAGAAGAATTGACCGAACATCGCGATCTGTTTTAAGGTTACAGTTGTGTGAGCCAGTGTTATAGAGAGTCAAATATCATAAACAACGATTTTATCAAAATATTTTCATTGCGCGGAAAAAGAAAAATCTGAGGAATTGAGAAAACCACCACAATCCATGCAACCTTTCCTTAATTTATTTGGCAAATGAGTAAAATGCACATTTAAGATCGAAAAGAGAGCAGCATGTTGACTTACCAATAGCAAGCAAAAAAACAGAGACGTTAAGGACCACGAACAGGACATTTACAAAGATGGAGTCGTTCTTGTCCTCTCCTCGACTCTCATCCCAGTTTGTGTAAACTGCGCCAAGACAAACGTCAAAGAAAATGATCCAAAGAACAAAAGTTTGCAAGCAGTCTTCAAACTTATTCTTGATCGGTCGGAATAAGGTGTAGATAACTCCAAAGATACTAACTATCAGAATTGTAAGACCAATTTGAGAGAGGCTGTTTGATCCAAAAAGAAAAATCAACGAGACTAGAATCAGCTTGCGATACATCTCTGTGATTTCCCAAAACCAAAATTTCTTCTTATAGTTTTCAAAGAACACTCCGAGTCCGAAGGAAATTGCTTCATTTTCCTGGGAATCGCGATACTTGTAAGTGAGAAACAGAACCAGAAGTGGAAACCCCAAGGGATATAATGCCAAAATAGAAGCCATGAGCCAATAGATGCTGTGGCGAGGAGTGAAACACTGGATTGAGTGGTCAGCTCTCAGAAAGAAGATGCAGTCGCTCTTATCGTCTGTGAAACAAGTCTCTACGCATGCACCAGGAAGAGGTAGAATCTGAATAATCGATTTGCTCGTCGTGGGGTAGGTCGTCAACAATAATAGGAAAATGTTCCGATAGCAAGATTTCTTCAAACTCTTAACTTCCATTACTTTCTGGTCTTCGCAAAGGTCCTCCTTATTCATGATGTAGTGTTTTTTAAGAAATAGATACAAGAAAATCAAGCCAACGAGTGAGACATTCATGACAACAATCATCGTGAACTTTCCAAGCTCATCAAGCCGTAGGGAAGGCTGAATGCAACTAAGAGGGGCAAACTGCAAGATGTTCCCTTCAAATACTTTTAGAACCTTCTCCGTTGAGATCAAAATTACTGGCCACTGGACTTTCGCCAATGCCGAGAAAATACCAGCGATGACTTGGTAAAAACCAATCACAATCTTAAAGCACGACATGACGACATCTGCAACTGTCCGGTCGTTCTCTGCACATTTGGAGTCACCCCACATAACTATTAGAAACACAGCAACAAAAAGAGTAATTACCAAAATGGATGAGGTTATTGTTACAGGTAACCGGGGACATTTCAAACAAGAGTTGAAGCGAAAATAGAAGTCTCCAGAACAGGTTGCACACAAAGTCCCTTGATATCCTTTATGGCATTCTGAATCAATTCCACCCTTGCAGGACTTTGCATGGGGACATTTGAGTGGCTTCGGAAGTGAAGTATAGAACGTGGAATATGACTTGTTGTAGTGTGGTCCAAAAGAATGAATATTGTTAACAAAACCCTTGAAACGTTCTTTTTCAGACTGGTCTGTCCATTTCCAGAAGTAGTTAGGAGCAAGTATTGCTGTATCTTTCTCACAAACAAAACCGTTGGGCGGACATGCTGTGCACGGGCCAAAACGATCCAACCGATAGAAGTTGTGTAGGCATCTGCATGCACGATATTCAGCAGTCTCGTTGGAGATCGTACCTGGGAAAGAATGTTTTCTTTCTTAGCAATGATAATAAAGCATTCATAAAAAGGTTTTTCCAGGAATTAATTTTCTCTCTTCTCTGAATCAACCAAGAAATAAGATTTCACCAGCGAAGTAAATCAATATTCTTTACAATCAGGTATCTTTGGATTTCGCCTAAAATAAATATCGACAACAACAACTACCATTAAGCGAGTCATTTCTGCTCATCTTTCTGTTCTCTGAAGAGGGTTTCTGATAGTCCACTACAGTTAACTTTTTTCTGTGTGGATGATGTAAGAACCAAAATTAACGAAAGTGACTGCTGTGTGTTGAAGAAATCGCTGTGACAGTCCTTTCATTAAAACTCAGTGTTACCTAAAGGGTATTTTAATCGAGAAAGGTGCAGTTCGCCCAAAGCGAACACTGCACTTACCATATGGACAAGCCACGCAGTCGGCAGCTTTGGTTCCAGGGCTTCGCTGTTCAGAAACAAATGTACCATTACTGCATTTTTTATATTCAACTTGTCCCATTTCATCCTGATAAAAGCCACCTGTGAAGACATCATATCATAAAACAAGGATTCAGCTCCACAGGTGGGTTGGGAGAGATTCAATTGTTAAGTACAATTACAGAGTAGAAACATTTTTATAAATGTTATTGTTTGTGAAACCTTTAAGTTATTCTTTGTTGCCTGCTTTTGGTTAAAATATTGAGAAAGATACATTTGCTTCCAGTGGCCGAACAGAGTGATTATGAAACTCTACTTTTAACTTTCAAATCTTCAAATGATATGGCTCCTATTTACTTACAGGAACGTTAAGAACCTCGCGATCGTCTTGTAAATTTTACTTGTAACACCAAGATACAATCTTCGGTTGTATGGCCAAAGAGCTTTATTCATATATTGCACCAGTATTATGGAATTCTCCTCCAGAGGTTACGAAGAGGTGCAAGTCGTTAACCCCCTTGAAATTTAAGCCTATGGCTTTTATTTTCAAACGAATTTTAGTTGGCATGTTATAAAGTTAAATTATATGGTTCAGATATTTTTTTTGCAATATATTTGAATTGATGATATTCTATTCTTCGATACTTTATTTAATAACTTCCAATGTTGTAATATAACGCGCTGTTGGATACTTAGCATAAACGGCGCTATCTAAACCTTTTATAGTATTATTTATATCATTATTTACATTAACGACGAAATAGGTGTTCATTCTCATTACCTGCAGGACACTCTAGACAGCGGTTTTCATCAGTATACATATAGGTACCAACTGGACAGAGACTGCAGTTTTTACACTTAGTTGGAAAACTTTGTTTTTTATAGGTTGCACAGTCGTGGCAAACAAAACCTGAGCGTGAAAAACTAAATCCGAAGTAACTTAGGTCGTTGTCCAAAATGACGTACAAAGATGTCGAGGGAGCACACTCACTGAGGATTGGATAATGACAATAATAAATTAAAAAATCTTTCTTGGAAAAGACATTTTAAGTTTCTCCATCAGAAAAGAGACCTAGAAATGAGATGACAATTAACCCACAAGCTCGCATTGGATTTAAGGATGATTTAAACTCAGTGAAGCGCAAGATCGAAGTCGCTCTAACCTTGAGATCATGTCTAACGAATGCAAATAGTTAAAAGTGCTCTACGAAATGTGTGCTTTAAAAAAAATTCTACATTTACCATATTTTTTTATTCATGTCATATGAGCTCAGGTACCAAGGCCTGGAAACCAATCAAAGAGGCCCCACACATTTTAACTCAGTAAAACTCGATTTCTTCCCTCAAGCCTCGCTTACTAGGTGCGCACTGATGAATTTAACCAAGTGAGTATTCCCAAAAAGATTAAAATCAAACTAAAACCCTCATGAGAATAACCCGAAGGCGGTTAAGATTCATGAAAATTTTGGTGCAACAGAGGCCGGGGGGTGAGTTTGCACTAGATGACGTCGTCTTGTAGAGAAGACGCTTGAGCCATTTTGAAGACTTGCAGTGTATCATAACTAGACCAACAAAGCCTTTATGTTATACTACGGCTAACTTTTAATAACTACACATAGTAAATTTCTTGAGTCAAAGAAGCCGCTTAATCGATAGTGTAGATGTCCATCAATGGTAGATCATGTTGAAGGTGATTCTATATAGGATGTACAAAAAAAATGAAAGTTTAAGGCCTACTTACATTTGTGACAAATATTTTCCCCGAGGCAGCTGACGAAGACTTTTACACGTCAATGACCTGTAAACAACTTGATTATAAATAAGTTGAACTGAAACTGATTGGATGTAGAAGACAAGAACACTCTCGTTATGAGAATGGTGACAGCAGTAATAAGTCAAAAGGCCCACGTCGCCAAAGCAAACTCAGGTTTCCTTAGCTTTGAGTGACCTGACATCTTGCTACAACAACACAACAACTGTAACGATAATGATGAAGATGTCAACGACGACGACGGTAATGATGATGATAAGGATGATGATAATTATACTGATACATTTGTTTCCGCGTTAAGGGTGCTCTCATCTTTTCGTGAATATAGTCATTTTGTCTCGTGTTCTTAGGTGTGTTTAAAAACACGTTTGGAAATGACTATTCAGCAATATGAAGTTTCCATGTTAGCTTGAGAATATGAAAAGTATATCTTGGCGTGTCTATGATCTAGAAGTCTACTACTAACTTCAGTTTCTAGTGAAATGCTATACGGCGTGTGTTTAAGCCATACGGCTTGACTTACACTTTGGTACGGTTTGACATTTTGTCGAATATTCCATCTGGTAATGAGCTGAAAGGATTATCAAAGATGGTTCTGAAAATAAAATATCTACTCATTACAAAAGAAACGATTTGATAGTAATTGTAAAAGCTCCCGATACCAACGATCAGAAATAGCGGGTGCGGTTTTTTTTTTTTTTTAAATATGTTTGTTTTTTCTTCTAACACCGACCGAGGAAACAGGAAAACGTTCAGCTCACGAAATTTATCTCCTTTTCAGACCTTTAAAGGAAATCAGGCAATTCGTCAATTTACTCACAACTGCTCCAGTAAAAGTCCGTCAAAAGCCTTGCTTTCAATAGTTTTAATTGCATTACTGTGAAGGAGCCTACGGAAAAAAATACGTTTCGGTGATCTTCTATTCTCAATCAAAATATTTTTGATTGAGAAAAGAAGAAAAGATAACCCTTTTTCTGACTAAGGCAACCTGGATATATCTTAGAAACCGAAGAAGCTCGTATCTTATCGTGTAACTTGTAATGATACACTACGATACATATGATACAACATTACATGACATGAGGAAAATCTCAAAACCAAAGATTATTCTTAAAATGATTCCAGGCGAGTAGTTTCATCAAAATCGTCTTGGGAATAAATGTTAGCTTGTTTTTGATTAGCATTCATTAGCAATAGCATTAAATTACCAATGAGAAAAATGATTAGGGACATGACGTTATAAATGTGCCATTTATAACAATTACATACGTACATATATTAACAATTGAATAAACGAGTTCACTGGCCAAATGATTCATTTTTAATCCACGAGTGCTGTTTCTTCAATAAATAAACGTTTTAATTGGTACGGAAGTGCTCCATAACTTTTATGCAATGCACGTGAATCTTAAAAGTGCACAATCACTAACCAACTGGAGCGCACGTTCTATCTCAAATACTTGTATTGATACCAGGGAAATATTGGACAAGGGTGAGCATATCATAAATTATCGCCTTTGGAAAAAGTTATTGAAACTCCTGACTTACTCTTCTAGAACTCAATGTTTGAATTTTTAAATGGAGAACTTATTGGAGGTTGAGAGATTTTTTTATCATTTGCATAATTGACTAAAAACCCTTTTACATGCGGCACAGCGACTCTTTTGTTTCCTACACTAC